AAAAAATAAAAAAAAAAAAAAAATTTAAAAAATTGGGAAACCCCCCCCCCCCCCATTTTAGAAGACCCCCCTGAAGAAAAAGTTTGTCCGATATAATAGAAGACCCCCATTTAATTAATTAATTTTTTGCTAATTACGAACTTTAATTAGCGTTTTTTCGTCAAAATATGCCTGATTTTTAGCATTTTAAGCTGTAAATATCAAGGGAATGTGTTCACAATTATAGTGCCACCCTTAAAACCCTGAAAATCCTGATGGAAATCCTGAAAATCACCTAAGTTTTCCGGAAAATCTTTTTAATTAGATATTAGAAAAAAATGCGGTTCTTAATACAAGATCCCCCTAGAAAATTGTTACGCTGCAACATAATAGAAGACCAGGGGTCTTTTATTGTGGGGGGGGGGGTTACTCAAAATTGNTCTGGGGGGGGGTTACTCAAAATTGCATTTTAAGAGAAACGCAAATACTCTAATAATATTTTGATGTTGCTGAGATATGTAAGACATTTAAATTTTATTCGGTTCGATTCCTTATTTTTAAAAAATCGATCGGTTCGGTTCGAAAAAAACACGAGTCGATCGCATCACTGGTCGCAATAACAAAATGAACAGTAAGTATTATTTGAATTAAACTAATAATTTGTATCTTTTAGTATTGATCGGACAGCTTGAAAAGTAGTAAATATTTTTAAATTTGAATTAATTTTTTCTACTTTTCTCAATTAGATTTGCTTCAATGACTCTTCAAATTGAACATGAGTTTTGGCTAAAATTAAGTTTCCCGAAACCCGTTAGAAGGGTATTTGAAAGGGTTTCTAATTTTATGAAGCCCTCTAATAAACTCTTTACAAGGGTTTATGAAGATTTCCCATACGGTTAAAAGGGCTTATTATACTTTGCACTTCAATAAACCCTTTAGCGTTCATTATTCTACGTTTATTTTTTTGCAGTGAACAGTGATACGCCTTATACGGTGTGACAATATACGGCGCATATACGATCTTAAATTCGACGTATACCACCAGCTACGTCATCTTAAACTGTCGCTTAGGTCATCGTAAACGGCCGTTTACGATCGACGTGGGTAAGTAGTGCTCTAATTACAGGTCTTAAAACATGGTAGATTTTTACGACAGATTTTCACCAAATGTATTCTGAATTAGCTGTCACTGTAAACAATGCATTTGAGCTTCACATTCAGTCCCGTTAGGACTGTATTAATAAGCTTTTGTTTTGTTTTGAATAGTTATTACCGTATAAATAGCTGTGTCTCTTTGAGTAGCAGCTAGCGTCAGTGATAGGTCACTCTGACGCCAAACAAAGATTAAAGATGCTTTTCTAGTCCAAATGGTTATGACATCTACTTGGACCACGGAAGGTGTGAGTTCGAGTCCCTTGAAGATCTATTTTTCTTCACTCTATCACATAGCATCAGTGACACTACTTGGTATAATAGTTCTCAGGTCCAAATTCTGATTAAATGAGCGAAAGAAGTGTTTGAACAGATCAGAACACATCTAATAACTGTTATGATCTATACTGTGATTATGTCTATATCGATATATGCGTCTCTTTTGGGATCTACTATGATCTGTTTGAACAGTTCAGATTAAATCTAAAGGTTCGTTCGAACGATTCAGGTCAGATCTAAGAAACTGGCTGAACAGTTCTTTTGATCGGAACTAAAACTGAACTGTCGTCCCCCCCTAAATGGTTACCCTTTACGTCCTATACGTATGAGAATTTACAGTAGTCATGATGTTGTTTTAAATAGAAAATATTGAATCAAAAAGTAACTCTTTAAAGAAGCTACATATGTAATCAGTTTCTCACAATACCTCAACTTGATTTTTCTTTATAAAATTTAATTGATTCTCTGAAATGTTAGTTACCTATCGTAAAATGAATGAGTGAAATTCTGGGAAACCAATTTTGGATTCGGATTCCTTGAATCCGAAAATCTTTGGTTATACTTCATCTAAATTCATTATTACCGTAAAATATTATTCTTTTCATAAACTTGCAAATTTTCCGTTGCTTAATACTGATCCGTGGTAAATGTTCTTTTCCATTACCTGGTAATTGGTAACAGTTCTATTACTAGTGTCAGATAGGTTTTACATACCAACCATCATTTTCTAAATAACTTTCGATAGCTTCTAACTATCACGCTCAGATTTTCGCCATAAAATAGAAAAATATTTGGACCTTCTACCAATGTAATATTAATTGAGTTTAGAAAAACTTTGCGAGATATTTAAAGATGAATATTTTTCTGTTGTGCTCCTTTTTCTAGAGATTTTTGTAGAAATTTATTTACAGATTACACGAAAATGTAGACCATTTTAATATGTATTATCCACAAGATTTCCATATTTCAGAAAATTTCTACTGAAGTACGACTGCGGAGCCAGCGTGAAAAAATCGAAGAATTATACAGGGTAAACATCACTTATCCGGCTACATTGTGGTGCAATTTCACCATAGTCTATTTAGAGATGTGGTAGAAGATGGTAACAAAAGAATGCTCATCTGCAAATATCCGTGCGAAACCTACTCGAACACAATGAATGCTACACACCTTAGCAGCACCCGACAATTCTCTATACTATGCCGAACCTTCGACATCGATAACTGACACTCATCGCAAGCTACTCGAAAAAAATGGTTGATATTAAAAAGAATCCGACACGAGCTACATGGTAACGTAATCATAGACTAACCGTAACGTCCTTTCCATACTTATGAAAGAAATGTCATTAAATTATATGAAATTGTGTTTTATTCGAGTGATATTCCAATGGCTACCGATTTTTCTATCGATCTTTACCTCCTGTTTGGTAGGTAAGCGAAAAAATCGAGACATTAGAAATAAATTGACGTTATATATAACTTGACAAGATTAACAACGTCCCTAATAATAAATGAGAATACTGGCCGTGTTGAATAACTAAAAGAACCTTAATTGGTGCAGCAGTGGACAGATTTCCAAAAAAGAAAATTTCCTAGCTAAATATGCATACTTCGGAAATTACAGGGATGAAACATTCAAGTTTTAGAAAATATCAGAAACGTTTTTGATTACCGCAATGTTATTCACCATAAGTGAAAACCAAAATAAAGTGATTTCCTGGAAATTTCAGAAATTACGGAGATTCCTACAATTTCTATATTAATATCGTATAGGTTTAAGAATAAATAGGTACATAGATATAATGACCCCATCCTCAAGAATGAGAAGAATTTCTAGTTATTCCCGTAATTCCATAAAATTACGGTAAATACGAAAATTCCTAGAAGTACTTCTCATTCTTGAGGGTGGGGTCTTTAAATCTATATACCTATTTATTCTTAAACCTATGCAATATTAATAAAGAATTTTTCGTAATTTCCAGGTAATGGCGGAAAGTACTCGAGAGTCTACGTTTTCTAGTTCTAATTTGCTGTCATATTGTTAGTTATTTTCGAAATCAACCGGAAATTTCTTTCTCTAGGCAAAGCTAACTTCAGAAATTCCCAGGATATTTTGTTGGCCAGCACAGATGGTTTTAAATTGATAGATTGCCTATAAGAATTTCCTTGTAGATGATAACCGATACGATTTCTAGTCCAAAAACATTAGAATACTTGTTTTAAGAATAGGCTCTCAAAAGCATAACTTTGCATGATTTAGATTAATTCCACTAATGCTAGTTCTTTTAGCAGTCGGTAATTATCACTTTAAAATGTCTACAAGAGCGATAAACTTTGAGGTTTGAAAAACGTTGTATTACAGTTTTCAAAGCAGATCTTCCTGTTACTGAACGTAGGCTCGACGATTTTGAAATGAATTCTTACCAGCATATACATTGCACCTTGAGGCATAATTGGTTTCAGACCTGGTGCTGTTGATAAAACTTTATAAGAAATTTCAGCGTTATTCTGTGTAGTAATTAAAACATATTATAGTTGAAAGCGTGATTTTAATCTTTACTTGGATCTGACTGATGATATTATCAAAGTATTTTTGAGGCGTATTCGCCACAATTTTAGGTAAAGCTGCTTGCATCACGGAATTCGGGCCGAGAATACGACTGGATAAATCCAGCAAACCTGGTTGAATTGATTCTAAATTATACTATAGTCAAGACCTGGATCTTAAAACTCTGAGTATCAATACCTTTCAATATATTCATACGATCATACATAGCAATCCAGCCGATCCGCCAACCAGGGCAAATGTAGCGTTTAGCTAACCCACCACATGAAAGAATTGGGACCTTCTGCGACAAAACACCCATGAAGTGAAATTCGTTACCAGGAAACACCTATGCTTTTTTCGAACTTTTCTGAAAAATTTATATCACATGAGTTTACCATATCTGCATATATCTCGTCAGCAATGATAATTAGACGATGCTTTTCGCAGATATCAATGATTTGTTTTAGATGTTCTGCACTGTACACAGCTCCTAAAAGTTCATTAAATTGAGCATTCCAATACAACTAAACATTTACTTACCACATGGATTCGATGGGTTGTTAACAAGAACAGCTTTCGTTTTACTGTTGATGGCAGTTTCTAAATCATCCAAGTCGAGTTCCCAATTTTGTTCAGGCTGCAGAAAACACACGGTAATGGGAAAATAATATGATATAAAATACAATGCTCACTTTTAATTTGTAATATCGTGGTTCTATATGGAGCGACTCACACAATGTAATGTATACCGAAAATCCGGGCTGCGGTATAAGAATATTGTCACCAGGGTCGGCCACACCATTGATACACATTTCGAGCGCATGCGAGCAACCACTTGTAAGGATAATATCCTTCAAATTAGCATTTACTTCTGTCAGAGAAAACGTACTTAGAAGAGTTATCTTACTTTTGTGTCAAGAACATGCCCATTTCGTGACCATAATTTCGCAATAGCTTCTCTTGCCTCTTCCATCCCTTACATAAATACAATAAATAGCTTTTTCAATAAATTTTTAAGTATAAAACAGTATTTACCGCAAGATGGCAAGTACCCATGAGACGTCGGTTTTGCGAAGGCTTCATTAACCGCTTCAGTTGCCTCAATCGGTGGAAGCATGTTGCCGTAGCAGGTGGGATCACCTAAATATAAGTGACGAGTGACGTTTTTACCGCATCTCGGTTCAATACAAAAGCTACAGCGGATTCCCCTAAAATTATCAGAAAATGTGCAGCCCAGAGTGTGGGTGTTTTATTTCGCACTTATAATACTAGTAGCCACAGTCACAGTCACACCCGTTACCACAACCTCACTCAAGCTCATCACGATCACATCTGAAAATGCAATTTTATAGAGCTTCGAAGTAAGGAAAAATTTAAGCCTATTTTGCTGAACTTTTGAAGGATGATTACTATCAGTGAGCTGTGCATAGGCTGACAGTCTCAGGTGAATCCACTATGAGTTTCGTATTGAGCCGAAATGTGATGAATAGGTTCCCCGTCCTCTTGAGCCAGTCAATGATAGCTACAATCTTACCAATGGACAATGTGATCAACGCCTTGCCTGGATTTGGCAGCAATTTACATCGATCAACAATTCGGCGAATAGGATTGATGGTTTTTCGAGCACTTCGCGATGCTTTAGCATTCCATTCTTTTTTACATATAGCAGCTGCCGTCTTAGCATTGCTCATAGAAGAACTAAAAACCGTATTAATATGAATGCAACAAATATTTGACGTATTACTATTTTCCTATTCGACTATGTCATGTTGTTTAAACAATTGAAATATGTAATACGCTCACAACAATATACGATAGGATATTGCATCGTTATATACAGATTTTTCTAGTTTTCTTTACTGAATTTCGTCTAGTTTTGAACAAAGACACGGCGAATTTGAAGAAAGCTTATATTCAGTTAACTCTGTTATAGAAGAGTGAATCTGTTACCAAGTTCATATTTTTCGTTGGTCTGTCAAATTTGGAGCTTATGTGCACCAAACTAGAGATAGAAACCAAATCGAATCATCTAATTCAAATGGTGTCGAATGCTGACTTTTTACTTCAGGTAATCAAATCGATCGAAGTCAAATTTGTTTGTAAAGATGTCGAATAGAATAGAATAAAATAGATTAGATCTTCGCTGATTCGTTAGATTCTCTGTAATAAATCTTTGGCAGCGTTTTATATCGTCTGCGAATTAGAATAGTTATCATATTCTTCTGTTAATTAGAAATCGGACAAGTACAATTATAGCAAGTGAAAGTATTTTACTTTTACTTGAAAAGATATATTTGTGCTTGTGTCTAAAAAAAGTACTTAAGAGCCATTGCACGTAATGCACGACCGACAGTGCTCAATCATCGAGTATCTCAGATGTCGTTCATATTGATATATATGATAGACAAAAGTGTTTGATGATGTTTGGCGCAAACCACAATAAAAAAGCTGTTAGCGCAATCCCTTCGGGATTAAAATGTGAAACACGATGTAAGTGTTAATTCTGACCAGAAAAACAAACTATTCTATATACAGTCGAAGCCGCTTATAAGAGCTCCGTAT